ATTTAATGAGCTAAACGTATTATCGTAAGACTCCAAAAAGAAACACCGGGGCTTTTATCTTTCAAAGGCCCTTTCTGAGCATCTTATTTTTGGAGAGGCTTATATTCCGAGCAGATTACCTAAGGAGGGGAATTTGCGTTTTAAAGTCGATTGGGCTAGCCTTATAGTTAGAAGGAAATTGATCATTTTTGCTTTGTTTTACTTTATTTTTGGAGGGATGGTTTAACAGAGGGTTTTTGCATTACAAGTTTGGGGGGCTTATGTTTGGAGGGGCTTATTTTATGGTATTTATTTATTTTACGGTATTTATTTTGATTAAAATGTAACTCACGTTTTCGCCTTGCTGGTGTCCTTTTTGCTTGTGGTGTCTCCTTTGCATTATCAAATGTATTTTCTTGAAGGGGTGTCTGATTTCTTGATGACAATCTTCTTGAAGAAGCTTTTGGGGTTTTTGTGTTACTCAAAGTTATTGTCAAACTTGGTTCTCTTTTTAACGAGGACTCTCCAGCAATCTTTTTATTTACAGGATAAAGGTTGTAATGATGGTCAAACTTGTAGCGCACATAAAATAAATCCTTCTCTTTATCACAGTTTAAACTGTCTGGAGGCAAATCCTTTAGTTTAAGTTTTAATACAGTGCACTTTCTGGAAATAGTCTCAGCATCGATGTCTTCCATGCTACCCTTAACATGTTCAGAGCAAGGTAAAAAAAGTTCTCTCCAAGGTTCTGGTACATCAACAGCTACCTTTTTGTTCAATTTCATCAGTTCTTCGTAAGTAAAATACCATTGAACTACAGCTCTGTTTGGATCTTTTGCTTCCTCATGTTTGTAGAGTTTCTCAATACAGCCAACAAAGTATTCATCATTGCCTCCACTGACAATAACATTGTCACCACATTTTAACAAACAGCTATTGAATCTACATTCACTGATGAAAAAATTGATCAAGGTCACAATGTGTAGTTCCAGAAAATATCCATACTTCCCGCACAGAAGGGATTGGAAATTCCTGGGGGGTGGGGGGTTCTCAAAGGCCCAGAAACTTAAGTAAATGTATGAAGCTTGACTGGAATTTCCAGAGAGGTGGAGGAGTCTAAGGAAAAATCCCTTCCGTGGGGGAGGTATGGATAATTTTTGGAACCACACAATCAAAGCCTTTTCTACTTGGTCTAGAATAGAGTATAGTTTATTGAAAATAGAGCTTTTCACGGTTTTTGATGCCATCTTGGCTGGTGGCAAACACAGCTAAAATTACAGTGAATGTATGGGATTTTGGCCCACTTGGAACCCCCATAACACCGCCACAAAGAAGTGGATTTCCAAAGCAAAAATGTATTTTAAAATACATTTGTATACTGGGATTATTTTGATGAAGTATAAAGAAGAGATTCAGGTTATAACAACCATAAACGAATTTTTAAAATTTCATACAAATCCTTCTAATCAACATTATGCAAATTATCATGACATTAGAAGCCACATGAGAAGATTTATGATTCAAATTTACGAATGTCATACCTTCTTTAATAGCCTTATTTTCTGTTGAATCAGTGATATCAGTAAAATAAAGTAGTGGCAAATGTTGGAAATCCGCCTTTTTGTAGCAGGTTATAGTAGTTCCAAGTGGGCCAAAATCACATACAATCACTGTAATTTTAGCTGTGGTTGCCCCCCAGCCAAGATGGCATCATAAACCATGAAAAGGGGTATTATCACCAAAATGAACTTTCTGGTTGATATTATTGTGTTTAACGTGGCTGTTCACAATCTGGCCATAGCCAGGCTAAGGTTACAGGGTCACAACATAACAGTACACCCACCCTGCAAAAATTAATGGAATATAACCCCTCTCCTTTGTTCCCACCCTACCCCTCTGCAACATTTCTGTCCAGTTGCATGTCTCCCTCCCTGTGTCATGCTGTGTAACATGAAAAAACAGGGGCAGATCAAAAAAATTTTGAGAAAGGAGGAGGGGGTCCAATTTTGGTCAATTTTTTGCACACCAATGCTTCCCATCCCTTCATGCTGTTACATTTTAGCTTGTATTCGACTCATGCATTTCTGACACCCAAAGCAGTTGTTGAGTACTTGAGAGACCCAGCTTTCAAACAATCGTCTTTTCATCTCGAGATAAATCATGAAGTAACTTTGAGCGTTGTTCAGATTGTATCAAATGTATTATGTCTTATGGTTGAAAGGCAATGAATCAGTGATGTAAGTTTAATTTTTTAAGCCACAAAATAAAACTTGAATAAGAAGGATAATTACCTGTAAAAAGCTTTTCCGTCATCTACAGTTTCTTGGCCAAGCCATTCGAAGTCGCTAATAGAATTTTTCGTCCGTGATCTAGTAGGCATCTTAAATTCTTACCCTCAACAACTCTCAAATCTGGCCGCCATTACACGTGCAAGAAAATCAGAGGGAAGAATGGGACCAAGTCTTCACTCGTCTTCTCACAGGCAACCCAAGCTAATAGGTACTAAGAAAGAATCTCTTTTTGTGTGTCTTTCAGTGTCTTCTAGAAAACCTAAACGCTTATTTCACTAATTTAGGCTGATGAACAATTAGCATATTCTGGCCTCTTACCTTGAGTCTACCGGGTATTTTTCACGTGACCCATTACGAACTGAGTTACTTGAAGAATGAATTTTCTCTAGTGGAATTAACTGCATGTCAGTACGAGAATGGTTAGAGTGGGAGAGAAAGTGTTCAGAAACAGTAGTGGGTTTAGATTTAATGTTAGTTTTGTCGACTGCACGTCTGTGCTCGTTATATCTGTCCTTGAGGCGTCGCTTAGTTTCACCTATATATTGTAGATTACAACGATTACATTGAACCATGTGGAGAAAATTCATTCTTCACATGACTCAGTTCGTAAAGCTAGGGAGTCGCATTTGATAGATAAGGCCATGACTCTTGAACCTCACGGCCTAAACCGCCGTGACGAATTATTGTAATCGACATCCTCATTGTTTTTTCTTTTCCAGTTTTTTGTGTTGTACGTCATTTCTGCCTCTCCTTTTTAAACAATTTTTATTGCGATATTCTCCATTGCATCCATACAATATTAGTGATTCCTGTCACAAGTTCAGTGACATCTGTAAACCTGAAGAAATATTGTTATGAAAAAACAATACACGTTGTTCTGATCAGCTTTGCAGTATTCTTTGGACTTTGGACTTTGGACTCTAGAGATCCAACGTTTATAACTAGCAGGATCTTCGTCCACGGTTTTTGCAGTTAATTTAATTCCTTAATTTATTACTCTCTTCTGAGTCAACTAGGCCCAGATGAACATGGTGTACTGAATGAAAACCCAAATTAGTGTCAGCAATCAGCTCCTGGAGCCAGGAAGTAGTAATTCATCAGTTAGGGGTACGTGCAGATGAATTAATTACTACGGGGGGGCTCGGAACTCAGGAGCGTTTCTAGAGAAAGTGAGGTGTCCCAGGATGATACATTCTTAGAGGGATGGGGACTCCCATAATATCGGATACGGTGTGTGCTGCCTACGTTAACGGTCTTAAAGGCCTCAGGCCCTATTTTAGGATCGGACAAATGAACGTTTATACCCTATTAGAGACCCAATCCCGAAAAATGACACCGCATTCAACAGGCTAGTCTCCAGGGCTCTTTTCCCTGGCTTTGGAGATGGGGAGGGAAAAGGCCCTGGCATTGGCCGGCCAATTTTCCGCCCCACCTCCAAAGCCAGGGAAAAGCACCCTGGGGACGAGGTTTCCTATTCAAAGAGAAAAACCGTGAGAAGCTAAGAATTTAATGGCAATTCAAAACTTTCATGAAATCGCCTTCCCACTGCTGTTAGGAGAAAAGGCCTTTTCCCGCCCCCACCCAGTTTTTGAGGGAAGAGCAATGGGGACGAGGTTGAGTTCAGTTTTAACAGATGGTTTCTTTCCTCATCTAGCCGATGTTCATGCACTTGTATTTTGGTTGATACAATTTAAGCAGCCTATCTAAGGATCACACCGGCAACACAATGACAACAAGGGCAAAAGCGATACCGTATTTAAGGTTTGAGATCTTCAAAAACCATCAGACCATACCATAAATCAAGGGGCGAGACGACAACTGCGAGAGACTCAAACAGTGTTTTACCCTATCGGACGGCATTTACCTATCTATAGGCCGTATGGGAGTATCTCCCGCGGAGATATATCATACACTACAAAACTTTGCCGGAAAGTAACTTTTCTTGATCTTTGCGCCTTTCAGTGAGGTTTGCCTTCTACTGTTTTTAAACGAGTCATTTGTCGAACGTCATTATAATTATAACCCTAGTTATTAACTGGGGTTAATAATTATAATTAAGGCATAATTAAGGTATAATTATAATTATTATTGACTAGGGATAAAAATTATAATTAATTATAATTAAGGGACACAGCAAGGCAAAGCACGGCAAGGCAAAAGACAGGAAGGATCGAACACATCGACGCACTACAGTGAAATCGTCCTTCTCAGTACTCCATTCCTACTGATTTGTTTCTTAGATACATCGACTACATCGGACAAGTTTGAGGATTAATGATAGTAGTCACTGACTAGACTGAGTATAGTTTTACTCTGTTAAGCGATGTGGACGCTTTCATCACCGCGGTCAAGCATTGGCTCGCTGCTGATGAAAAACATGTCAACTATATAGAGAGCCGCGATACAATTTTTGAGGTACCCTGAATCCGTCGAAAGCTGGATGTGGCGGAATTTCTTTCCCAACGATGTAAAAATTAATATAGGGCAGGCTATAAGAAAAATAAAAGGACTGTTGACGTAAGCATTAGAATGGAAAACGAGCCAGAAAAAATACTGTGGGGGAAAAAGTAATGCGAAAACGTAGCCTCTGCTCGCGGGACACGTTTTCCACGGCCGGGCCACTTATGTAAAGTCTGGTATGCCAAGGTAACTCCGGCTATATGCTACGTGACTTCCTTGTTAGACCTTCTTATCTCATATATTAGGTGTCAAATACTTGTCATTAGCACGGTTATAAAACACCACTCTATAATAAGTCAGATATATCATAACAAGAGCATCGACAATAAATCACGATCAGAGGAAGTTCTTCAACACAAGAGTTTGAACATGTCGTCGAGGCCAGCATCAAAAACATGGGGTGGAAAAGAGTTCTGGGGCATGAGTTGGGAGTACGATCCACAATGGCTACTTAATGAGGAACAAAGACAAATCCAAGCCAAACTGATTGAAACTTGTAGGACTGTGATCAGACCAAACGCAGTAAGTTATTTTAATTTTTTCTCGTTTTAAGACTACTGTAAAGACAAGTGTGAGATTGGAAATAACTTGATGTCCAGAGAAAAGGTTTCTCCTGTTTGGAACCAGCTCCATGGCTGGGACAAAGAGAATCCTCTCTCCCCAACTGAGAGCCTTTTCGGGTATGTATCCTTTTTGATGAAAAAAAAAATTTTTGATCTTCTAAAAATCATGATAAGCGGACTTTTTAGTTCAGTAGAATAATTTCACTTGCAAAAGATTTTAAGATACAAACAACATCCAACGTTCGGATATCATCGAGGGATTTCTCATCGTTTTTGCTCAAGGTATTAAAAGGAGCTGTTGACAAAGCCTCGGTTTGGTGATTCAAAAAGATCAAAGAAAACCACATTAAAGGACCCAAATAACTGATTTGAAATATTATCATTATGCGAAATAATGTACTATCTTAACCTAAAGTTTCTTTCTTCAGCCTTATGCGTTCATTTTTGTAATAGTGTTTTAGTTTGAGTTGTACTTCCTCAAAACAAAACAAACAAACATTCTTTTATTGTGACCTTCTGGAAGGATGTTCCAAAGGTTCTGCCAACATAACATCGAGATTAAATTTCGACTCGGATGTTCAACTTCCTAGAGTATTTAGGTCCCATGTTGAAATGTTATTCTTGCAATCCAACCTGGAGTCTTTTTTTCATCATAAATAATATCTACAAACAGTTCTATGAGTATTTGTTTTAAATTCTTGCACGTGCTTTTACTTACGGGAGGTATCATTTGGGTATGAGGTTAAAAAGTCTTCAAATTCTTGTGGGTATGGTCGAAGACCATGCATGTAAATCGATTTGTAACCTGTAAAGACTAAAGCAGGCGCATGCTACGTACGCAAGCTAAAAGACCTTATTCACGACACTCACCATCTTTGCACACGCTTTAGGGTTGACGAGATAGAAGCAATGTCACATGGTATTTCAGGGGGCAAACACGTGATAAAACTTGCCAATATATACGAGCCGAATGGCGATCGATTCTGTATCGGTCATGATAATGCAAAATGGACAGTTTGAGTTTCACCGAGTATTATGTCAATATTGCACATGCCCTGTGAGGACATTTACGGTAGCTAATGCTTCCAAAACAGTAAAAAATTATAGAGTTCTAAAGTTCTAAAGTGTTTTGAAAGAACAACATCTGAAAGGCCTACTTGCCAAATACTAGCATTGTGGGGCAAATTGTCTCGGAGATACTAGTCCCGTTTTGCTTTGATGACTCCATACAAATCCTTAGTAAATATGACTCGGTTCCTAATGTTATGAACTGAGTCAAATTTAGAAGAATTTGTAGGTGTCATCAGAGCATAACTGGGCTAATGTTTCACAGACAATTTGCCGTGGAATGCTAATTTTTGGCAAGTAGGCCTTTTGGATGATGTTCTTTTATAATACCCCGAAAAATCCCATAATTTCACAAATTCATTCTTTTACGACGTCCCACTGCAGAATAAAGAAATTAACTACAAAAACTGTCGACGAAGATCCTGCTGGTTGTCAACGTTGGATCTCTAGAAAAGAGATCTAATCAGGTAAAATATTAGCAATAAAAAACGAGAAGTCCAAAGACTACAACAAAGCTGATATTCGAACTCTGTAATGATCACTTCCACCCACTGCTTGCCGTTATCGTCTTTAAGCTGTTGTCTAGAATAAACGAGCTCGTCCGCAATTTCCTGAATGGGCAAATTTTCATTGCCCTCTGAGAAACTACGTGACATTGCCGCGCGTGCAACGATGGCGGGTACTTAGCCCACGGATACAGCCGTCACTGCCACTCGATTAGCCGCAAGAAGAATTAAAACGGCTGCATTTGCAGGCTAGCGGGAATAGGAATCGTAAATAAGGTCTATCGATTTGAAACGTTTGCGCCAGAGAGCAGACTTTCAGTTAGTGAAGTGGGCGTATTGCGGTTTGCCGTTTTAAGCCTTTTTCCAGACTGGTTATAATCCCGGGGGGGGGGGGTACTCCCTTATAAGGGCTTAATGGGGACGTGCAGCCAGCCAGGGTATGTTTTTCGGGATTTTTGTCTTAAACAGGGTATCGAATTTATCATTTTTTGTCTTAATCAGGGTATCGATTTATCAATTTTTGTCTTAAACAGGATAAATGTCTTAAACAGGGTATCAAAAATCGGAATTCTGTCTTAAACAGGGTAAGAAAATCAGCGATATTTGTCTTAAGCAGGGTCAGGGTATGAGGGGCCGTGCCGCACCTCCCCACCCAGGGATATATCGAGTACCCCCCCGGGTTATAATACGCTCTTAAAATTCGCGACCATAATTATCCAAGTGATTGTTGTCGGTTTTCCCCGCAGGCTCTGCCTTTTGTGACCCCAATTAAACGTTTGTTTTTTCTGTTTTTATTTAATATCGACAAGAAAAACCTGGTCTTTAGGATCTCAATATTTTCTACTGTTTAGGATTCATACGCATGGGTGTTTATTCGTTTATTCAGTTTGTGATTAGTGGTATACCACACATGTAAACAGGGCATATGTACAAAGTCCTGTTAAAGACTCACAAGACGCTTACGTGATAGTGAAATTATATACTATAAAACGTTATCCCCCTAAATTACCACTTTGCCGGCGGCACATAATTAATACCCGGTCTCCCCGGGCCTGTATGTAGATGAAACCTTTGGTATTACGAATGATATTCTTGCCCCTGTTATAAAAGAATGCACGAAACAGGATCGGATAGTCGATATATCGCACCTTCGATATAAAATGAACAATCTTCCCAGTTCCTTTGGCAGTTCATTTCTTTTTGGGTTTCTCCCTGTCAGTGACATAATGGTACGCCAGCCTGCGCCACAGACGGGGATTAGAGTGCATTTGCGACGCAGGCTTGCCTATTTCTACGGAAGCGTTATTCTACAAATAACCGACTCAAAATAACAGGCCGAGATTGCACGTTCATGCAAAGGACTGGTTATTTTTCAAACGTGGCAGAACTTCTATTGTTTGTGAACGTGTATGTATCAAGACGGAATCCACCAGGAAATTGAGTAATTTTAACTAATTCAGTGGACAATGAACCTTGTACCAGAATAATAGCAGAAAGAAAACCGTGTACCAGTATAATTAAAAGCATATTGCATTCTTTTTTTACATTTTTCAAGGGCTAATAACACCAAGAAAATTTCTCAAGGAAGTACGAGAAAATGAATGCCAAATTTCACGAGAAATGGGAAAACACAGGTAAAATTCTGAAAATTTCATGGGTAAGATGTAATTTTGTGAAATTTGACATTTATATTCTTGGACTCCCATAAGAAATCTTCTTTGGTGTTATTACAAATGACTAATTACATCTTCAGCCCTTGAAAAATGCAAAAAAGAATGCAATATGCTTTTACTGTAATTATTCTGGTACACGGTTTTTGTCCACTAAAAACTAAAATTATTCAGTTTCCTGGTGGATTCCTTCTTAAATATAATTAACCCTTCACTCCAAACGAATGCCCGCGTCAGGCGCTTTTTGTCCCCGGCTTTTCATCCCTGAAGCTAGAGATACAGGTACAGCAAGAGCGTGCCTTAAGTCACGACTTTCAGATTTGACGAGTGTAAGATCACTAATTAGAACTCCACTCACGGATTACACAAACCTGATTACTACGTTTTTCCAATTTCCTTCAGGCTGATAAGAGATGAACGTGTCTCCATCCTGTATTTCTAAAATTCTTTTCATTGTTTACGATCGCGAGCGTGAAAGATAAAGAGATGCTAGTGCGCTATCTCTTTTTAGATCAATTCTCAAAGGCTTCCTTTCCAGTAGAATTCTACCTCTTTCATAGAGAAGAACCACTTAGTTGCTGATTGCAATCTACCATTCAAGGTCATTCAAATGAAAGCTCTCTGAAAGTATTACCATGCACTGTATGCCTACCTCCTTCCTCGCCCCGAGGTCCGACCCCTTACATTTTAGATACCCTTTTTGACAGAATCGGTAACCCTTTCAGGCGTAGCCTTTATGTATAGGCCTGTAGAAGTACGGCTTGGATGCCAGCGTTGCGTGTTATTTCTTACATTGATTTCATTAATTCGATTTACAGCCTGTAAATTTTTTGCGCACTGGATCTGTGTCTTGTAAATCAAAACAACAAATTGGCAAGCTTCATGATTTATACGGATTAAATTCTAATCATCATATTACGGACCCGTAGTCAAAAGGCGATTGAATACGCCCGTCGATTTCCACAAAGTTGGTTTTAAAACCGAAAAAAAAGTTTGAAGCACTGCTTCTCGCCTGCGTGAAAACCGGTATACGCACCTTCTAAACCATTAGTATGGTTGGGGTATAAAGTGTTTGCGACGCAGGCAGGCTACAGTGCTTAATACCGTTTGCATTTTTCAAGCTGTAAATTTTTGCCATCTGGAAAACTGCAGTTATTCAGGATATGTGATATCAGTTTGGATCTTGTAACAAAAGCGAGTCAGGTGAAAGGTAATCGGTCAACTGGCGTCTCTTTATTTCAAGGTTAAAACAATATCCAATTGTTTGCGCGCGGTAGGTACAATTGTATAAGCCACTTACGAATGACGCAAATAAGATCAACTACTATGTCAGTGATGGAATATGACCATAAAACTAACAGATCACTCTTCAAGGATCAGTTAATGCTCCTCTTCGGCAAGAGCAGATCACGCTGAAGTCTGTCTTGTAAAACTTTATTAGAGATGGCTTCAACCCTGGGAACAAAATCATGGGGTGCAGGAAAGGAGTTTTGGGGCTTAGATTGGTTTTACGATCCCCAGTGGCTCTTGGACGATGAACAAAGACAAATCCAAGCAAAATTGGTAGAGATTTGTAGGACTGTGATCAGACCGAACGCTGTAAGTATTACTAGGTTTTTTAGGTCCGCCAAGAAGAATTTAAATAAAATGGGTCATGATACAAGCAGGAGACAGCTGGTATTCCTGCATACTCCCCGATTGTGTCCATAGAAACGGATTGGCTAGCTTTAGTTAAAGTTGCAGATACAATTTGATTCGTCCTTCGTATACGGATGTAGCCTAGTCGGCCGGTTCAGACCACCGTTGACCATTCTTCGATCGAACTTACTCTCAGCAACATTCCTCTTATGTTACCATGTCGTCCCTCAGTTTTCGATCTTCAATGCATGTATTGTGCAAGCTGTCAAAATATCGGTCCTGTGTAGCCTAAGTCAAACTTTTCCCGCGTTTTGAACCTTGGCAAAATTTCGCGTATGCGTACAAAACAAAGAAAGATAGAAAATAGCAAGTGATATCCAGCTGACAATTACGATTTACATTGTGTTCTCAAAAAAACGTCCAGAAACAAAAATAAAGAAACATTATTAGGTGCCTAAAATTTAACGAAATAACGGTTCAAAAAGCAAAATGCTTGGAGAATGTTAACGGAAAAGATGGTGAAAACTCAGCCTTTTGCAATACGAGAAGGCTCTCTTTGGATTAAATTAGTTGGCCAGGATTGTTTATTGTTAGGGAGTTTTAGGTTATTTTTTATTTCTATATTCAGTAGTATGTATCTGGCATGGGGGGCAGGGCTGATCGCGTCCATCTGTGCTACTATCCGTTGTTAGCATGTTCGGTTGCTTAAGTGAGGCCAACGTGTTTATCGTGTTAACGTTCAAACTTAATCATTGGATATCCAGGATACGATGAACACCGATGGTGATGATAACTTCGCGCGAAGAGAGATGCGTGGCGGGAGGCCGGATAGTGGTACTCTAAACACCAAGTGCTCTCCAAACTCACGTAGCCCGCGAACAGCAGAGAAATTTCCGGTCGTCGCTTCTCTCCCTCCGAAATTTTTCGGAGGGAGAGAAGCGACGGCCGGAAATGCGTCTGCTGTTCGCAGGCTAAACGCACGCCGAAAATTCACAATTACATGACTAACTAGCTAAAAGTAGCAAAGGATACCATGTCGAGTATGAAGATTTCAAATGTCATCCCAGTTAACTTTAAAAAACTGGACTCAAGTTTTTATTTTTATTTCGTCGAGATCTAGAAAACTTCCCGATTATCCAGATTTAAAAAGCTAAAATAACCTAGCGATTTATCGGCTCCAAGTCGGTTTAAATCTCGGTTTTACCGCCCTTTTTCAAGCAACATTACATCAAGTGAAACCAAGTGTTTGACTTTTTTTTTTTGCTGTCATTGCCATAATTAAGAAATAATATTTCAGTTGCTTCTATTTTAGTGGCTCAAATTTGGCATACAGGTCAACAGCAACATTTTTTACGGATGGAATGATCACACGTTAAGGCATTTTATCAACAAAATTCACTGTGAAAAGTCTGAACTATTTTCTGCGCTGTGAAAGGTTCAGGGTTACAGTGCACGCCGTAAGCTATACTTGCACGTTCTTTCGAGTGCCTCCTTCGGCTTAGAACTTCCAAGAGGCTTTAGACAATGCGTCCACCAGCCTGGATGTCTAGACGCAACTGAGCTTAAAATCTGACATAGGATAAAGGGACCTTTCAACTCTCCACTTAGTGAACACAGGTGAAGTGCGTGCCGTAATCCTCTCAACATTTCAGAAATTTACAGACAATAATCTATTCATCCTTTCTTCGAGAATTCTCGGCCACCAGAACAGATCACTTAAAAATAGGCCAGTGAATTTCCACGTTGCCCCAAGCCTCTGTTTCAAGGCGAGGATAAGTGCGATACCATAATGATTTTTTATTCTTTAGCAAAAAGGACTCATTTTTCACTTAACCTTGTTTTGAAAGAGAGACTTTTTGGAACTCTGAAATGTCCTCTTCTTCTTAGGGAAGTTACGGAAATGATTAAATGTGATTGTCGATTATAGAGCGGTTTTCACTTGACTGTCGTAAAACCAAAACCAAAGTAAATACACTAGCCAACCAAAGGGCGTAGTAAAACCAAAACCAAAACCAAAACCAATCCCTTTCGACAGTCAAGTGAAAACCGCTCTATATACTACGTGCAAAACTCAGTATGTAATTAGTTGTCAGCCACAAATCCCGTGGCCTGTAGTATCTCGCTTATGACGTTTGTGTACTGTTTTCAAGTTTGATGACATATTAGCTAATTTAAGAGTATCAACTCTCAGGAAAGATTTAGGTAATGCCAAGCAGAAGTCTCTTCTGACTTCGTGAGTTTTTCGCTGCGGGACAGGAAATCATCAGCGCTATCAAAGAAATGTTTTTCCATATATTGCGTCTGTTTAAACGTGAAAAAAAAAACACATTTGGCGAACATTTGTGACACCGACAAGCATGTGAATTCTACCGAATGGATCTACAAAACCAAAGAGGGACTGAAATTTCCTGCCTTTCGAAAAATTAAGGATTAAATTAACTGCAAAAACCGTGGACGAAGATCCTGCTAGTTGTAAACCTTGGATCTCTAGAAAAGAGATCTAATCAGCCAAAATATAAAGAACCAAAAACGAGAAGTCCAAAGACTACTGCAAAGCTGATTCAGAACAACGTGTATTGTTTCTTCATAACAATATTTCAATCAATCAATCAATCAATCAATCATTTATTTTAACACGTTTCGTCAAAGAGCTAAAAAAACTCGTTCAAAATACGAACGTGTATAAATAAAATCTATAATAACTACAGCTATATAATATTATTCAGTTTTAAAAACAACTCAATAAATATATACATATAAAAAACTTGGTAATAAAAACATAAAATATAAAAAGCTAAAACCGACTAAAAAGTCACATACTAAAAACGTGACTAGGAAAACTATAATACTCGTTCTAAAACAGTTAAAGGCTACAATCGTGCACTATAAGACGCGTTCTAAAAAGCTGCAGTCGTGCAATTTACTTCTGAAGTCATTAGCATCTCTTGAAAGACGCACTTGAGAAGGCAAACTGTTCCATAACTTAGCTAATGAATAAGTCAAAGAATTCTTCTTAAATTTAAGATTAAAGTTAGGTAATTCCAAATTCAAGCCCTCGCCTCTTAGCCTATACGGTGTATGCCTGTATTTAAAAAGGCTTCCAATATAAGTAGGTCCCGTACCATTTAAGCAGTTAAAAAGAAGTATTAACGCCTGGTGTAAGCGCCTACAATATAAGGATTTCATGCTAGCCGTAGTGAGCAGCTCGTCGTATGACATTGACTTGTTGTGCCCGATTAATGTTCTCAAAGTATAACAACGGCTAGCCATACCAGCCTTCTTCAGGTTTACGGATGTTACTGAACTTATGTAGGCATCAAAATATTTTATAGATGGAGAATGTCGCAATAAAGATTGTTTAAAAGGGAGAGGCGGAAATGAAGTACAACACACTGCTGGATAGGAAAAATACTAAGGATATGGATTACAATAATTCGTCACGGCGGTTTAGGCCATGAGGTTCAAGAGTCATGGCCTTATCAATCAAATGCGACTCCCTGGCCTTACGAACTGAGTCACGTGAAGAATGAATTTTCCCTAGTGGGATTACCTGCATGTCAGTATGAGAATGGTTAGAGTGAGAGAGAAAGTGTTCAGAAACAGTAGCGGGTTTAGATTTAATGTTAGTTTTGTCGACTGCACGTCTGTGTTCGTTAAATCTGTCCTTGAGACGTCGCTTAGTTTCACCTATATATTGTAAATTGCAACGGTTACATTGAACCATGTAGATCACGTTTTTAGTGTTACAAGCAATTTGTGAAGTGATGGAGCGTGTTTCACCTGTAGCGTAAAAGGTATAACTTGTGAGGCCGTTAGTAACGTATGGACAAGCGGCCAATTTTTCTCCACAGCGAAAGAAGCCTGGCGGAAAATGATTGTTGGAGATAACGGGTAATTGTGCTTTAACTAAAAGGTCACGAAGATTAGGGTTAACAACTAAAACTTCCAAACCCCGTTTCCAAAACGAAGATTAAGAATGTTAATCAGAAGAACCTCTGAACTGGAATTTATTTCTGCAGATTATCTGCGACGAAACTTATGAGTTTCCAAGAAAGAGCATGGATGCCTTGGCATCGCTCGGCCTTCTGGGACTTATCGTACCTAAAGAACTTGGTGGCCTGGGTCAGAATCACGTGTGTGCCGCCATGGTGGTGGAAACTATCGCCAGATATGGCTGCCCAAGTACCGCCATGATTTATGGTGAGTTAGTATTGTTGCAAATGTATTCTGGGGCTCCTATAGCGGCCTGAATTAAACAAATACAAAAAAGGCCACCGGAAATTGTACTTTGAAGCTTTCAGTCACATGGTCACACTGTAGCATTTCACTTACAAACTCATCTGTAAGAACTCCCCTGAGCAAAATACTGGAACAAAGGACTTTGTCACTGAACTAGTCACATCAACGCAAAAGCCGAGACTCCAAAACAAGAACAACGAGCTTCAACTCAATAGCTGAAAAAATTGGCTGAAAAATTGAATTTGCTTTAAATTCATTTTGAAGCAGATTAAGGACAACAAAAAGATGGGAGAAAGATAAGAGTGTACAAATCAAAGTTAATTGTGGCAGAGTATTCACAGAGTGGTACTGAAATAGTAGTTGCCAAATGGTCAAAGCGAATTATTTAGTGACAACTTTGGAGTGAGTCGTTGATGACCCTGCCCTTTCACCAGTATTTTCGGAACTTCGAGGACTGTACAAATCTGTGAATGTTTTCAGTCTTAATCTTAAAAATCCCAGAAGTTCTATTCTAATAATTTCATCTCTGTTTTCAGTGATGCACCTAGGCGCAGTCGCAGCGATGCTTTTCCGCCATCATGACAACAAGACTCTCCAAGATTTACTGAAGCGGCTTGACAAGGACACTTTAATTGGAACTTTGGTTTTCAGCGATCCCGCTACAGGTAAATGTACTTAATAGGCCATTCAAGTCGAGTTCCAAAAATCTAACTTCCTAAACGAGACGAGACTTACTTCAAAACCTTTCTTATGAAAATCTTCTTCTTCTTCTTCTTCTTCTTCTTCTTCTTCTTCTTCTTCTTCTTCTTCTTCTTCTTCTTCTTCTTCTTCTTCTTCTTCTTCTTCTTCTTCTTCTTCTTCTTCTTCTTCTTCGCCTAGCCTTGGCGCTTAACTCTTACAATTAAGGCAAGAGCTAAAAGTGGCTTAAACACATACCACCTTGAGGAGAACTTTAAGCAGATAAAAAGATAGAGAGCCATTGAAAGTAACAATTGATAGTAAACTAAAAAAAAAGATAAAATAAGCAGAAAACGACTGGCAAAGCAACGGACGTTCCCTTCACAGTTTCTGGTGAACCAAGCAAAATGTAAACAAAGTTCCCTAAAAATGTTATTTCTCCCTCACAGGTGGGCACAACTGGTTTCCATTCTCCTCCAAGGCCAAGAGGCTTGATGACGGCACCATTCAAGTGTTACGTTATGGGGCCTGGGTAACAAGTGGAGGTTTTGCAGACTTCTACGTGGTTGAATGCACAAGCCCGTCGTTTGCTGGCGACTTCATGAATCTCAGTCTGTTTCTTATGTTCAAGGTATAAGCAATATCAAGTAATACTTAAAACCCTAAGTACATTCGATCCAAAACATTTCTCCTTGTCCTTCTTCTATGGTACGGATGATGACAGTTTATTTTCTAATTAAAATGTATATTTGGTCATCATTTTTCTTGATTCTCAAGACCCTTGTATTTGATTAAGCAGTGATCTTATGACAAGACAGTTACTCGACACATTAATTCCTTAGCTGCGTACTTTGAGCCCCTGAGAAACCTCTGACTGCACAGGAGCCGTTTAGTAAAAGAGCAAATTCTACGTGCTTTCTGAACAGACTAATACGAACATGATGGCTTATTGGCGGAATGTGCTTATTTCACAGGACCAGGTTCGTTCCAGTACCGATGAGTGGTCAGCACTTGGCATGCGCGGTAACCATTCCAGCCCTGTTGTGTGTGAAGGAGTTCTGTCTGCAGACAGGCTTGTTGGGTCATTTGGTCAGTTAGAGTTAACTTCACGTCATAAATGTAGTGAAATATTAACAAAGTAGAAGAAGAACTTCAGTGGGATCCTTCAAGAGAGAAATTAAAACCATTGCGTTGATCGCTACACTTTCCTGGGGTTCTACTTATAAAGCTTTCCAAAGTGGTCATGCCTTTTTAAATGGACAGGAAAGCTAAGGAGTGCGCTGGCCTGCGAATGGACTGGAGACATATTATATAGTTGGTTTAAACGGAGCTTGGTCCATTATATCAGGATCCACGATGTTCTATACCATTTTATCATAGCTGCGACAAGACTATTTGTTTTTGTCAAGGCTTCCTTGTAGTGAAATCTACGAAGTGGGGATGGCGCCTGGGAGGACAAAGAGCAGGAGGGGTAAGGGAGGAAGAGGAAGAACTAGAACGGTGGAGAGCGTAGGGAAATTGGGGAAATTACGCAACAATGCTTAATACTCGCACATAAAAAAAGGATGAAAGAGATGAAGCCGAGAAAAATGGGGCTGAAGGTGGGAGATTTGGACCCTCCTGCTTCCCCCCAACTCACTCCTACTTTTTTAAGTAGGAGCTTCACTACTTACCCATTTTTAAAACAAAACAATGAACGGGAGTTTTAAATTCTTCAACAGGTGAATTTCCCTTGGCTGCTCATGAAGTCATTGACCCATACTTCCTGCTATACTCCTCGGCCTGTTGGAACGGTTTAGCATTGGGTACCATTGATGTCGCTAAAAAACACGTGACCAGAACAGAACATGCTGATTCAGGCCTGCGCGTGGCCGATTATCCAATTATACAGGTAAGAGATCATGTGCTCTTCCCAATGCTTGTCCAATCTGTCCAATCCCTTTTGAGTAATTTTTGATTAGCTCTGCACTTTTATTTGCTGCGAGTTTGAAGGAGACCACGACAATTTGTAGAAGCAAACTAACTTTCTATAACACTTCAAGGGTCAGAAGCACTACCCAGATCTGAGTAGTGACGCGTAATCAGTATGAAATTTCTGCGCTCGTTTCTCCCACGTCATTTCGCGGGAAAACAAACCGTGGCGTTGCGCAACGTCGGCTGTTTTCTCAAGCTTGCCGAAAACTGCATAATAAAAAAAAAAACGAATAGCACTGCTCGATAGCTGAACTCAAAAGCTACATATATAGGACCATCTTGACCAGCTTGATCAACGATACCAACTGAAAGTATTGCTCTTTTAGTGGTGCACTTGAAATCTCCGCGCCACATTCTCGAACCATCCGTCGTAAGAGCAAAACCTATCTACGGCACAACTAGAAGTCCAGGGAAGATCACAGGTTTTGAAGTTTAATTTTGATTGAATTCACTCCCTTTCTTTGTGTTTTATTTTAGGATTATTTCGGTAAAGCCATCACTGAAACAAACAGCTCGCGGTTGATGCTTTTTAACGTGGCGAAGGGAATGGATGGGGTTACTAACAACAACGACTGGTCTATTTACAAAGAACCCATGACAGCACCGTGGTAAGTAGTGCATCATTACAACAAGTCAACAAATCGCTTTCTCAGCTGACACTTAATCATATAATCTCACGACAATTGCAACCAAATCAGGACAAGAAAATTTCCGAGGCAATCTTAGCCAAGCATGGGTGAGCTTCGATAACTATGAATCGTGAAGATTTGGGTCCCGTAGAAAAGCTCCGAGCGTCTTCGAGTAACTTTTCACAGAGATCGAGAGTTGTCAGCTAATTAGTTATTAATCCTTGCAAGTTTTTACAAATCTCTGCAATAGCCCGTCTAAACTTTGCAACGTTTTAACGTTGTCTTCTCCCCCCAGCGCGAATTAGCGGATTAGTTTCATTTGCAGTAACATCGAAATAATAAATGAGAGGGGTGGCGAGGGGGGGGGGGGGCGGGGGGGGGGGTTGTTTACCTCCTTATACGGTGAGGGGGGGGGGACGAGGTTACTACGTTTTTCTATACGTCAAGATAACTGGGAGGGGGAAAAGCGGGTTCCAGCCGACCTTAAGACATCCATGGTGCCCGTTTGCGGTCGCTGTCAACAATTAACAAAATAGGTCCGTTAGGTAATTTCCACTTACAGCCATTTTTGCTCGTTATCTGGACCACGATAGGGAAATTATGAGTGTGGCGGTAGGTTGTCAGTTTTTTTGTTTTTATTCCTATGACTTTTTAAACCAGTTCCGGAGCACGCCGATGTTACTTGCCGAGTTTTTGGCTGGTCGTTCCCCCCCCCGGGAGAATTGGGGGGTTTGGTTCTTTGGGGAAAAAAAGAAAAAAAGAAGGGGGGGGGGGGGGGGGGGGGGGGGGGGGGGGGGGGTGGGGTTGTTTGACTACTAGTGATTTGAAGTGGGGAGGCCGAGGATACTCTTCTCTTATATAAGTCATTATAATTTGGAGAGGAAATAGGGGGCTTCCGCCGTCCTGTAAATATCCATCGAGATGGTTTGCTGTCGTTGTCAGCTATTAACAAGATATGCGTGTTAAGTAATGTACACTTAAATCTTTTTATGCTCGTTAACTGGAACAAGGAAGGGCGCCTGATCACAACTGATCGCAGTTTTGTCTACTTTTCTTTGCTTGGTCTTTTAACACTTTGCATCTCTCTTGTCTCTCCTTCTTATCTTTTCTTATAGTCGAGGTCAGTTTCATCACTGGTGTTTTCAAGTCAAAATAAAAGCTGCCGCAAATGTATCGTACGTCGCAGATGAGATGTTGCATGCCTGTGGAGGAGTTGGTTATAAGAAAGAACTTGGTAAGTCTGTCAGGCTTAGAAGCTCTTTTTCGGATCTTCTTCGTAAATCTTCGAACATGGTCGGAAATCTTCGGAAACTTTGAAAAACGATTGAAGATGTCTAGATTTACTTCGGACAGTGTTCTTTAGGGCTTATCAAGCTGACGGAAGTTAGATCTTTGGAAAATAGCGAAGCCAATCGTTGTGGTTCAAGATAAAACCAAGTACAAAAAAATACATAATGGACTGTTGTTCAAGTGTAGTTCTGTGCTGTGCGGTTAGAAAGATCCGAGGTAGTAGATTCTTTTACGATTTCTTAAGCTCGCGTAATTTTAACGTGTGAAATGTTCCTTTACAGGTTTGGAGCGTTTGCTACGCGACAGCAAAGCAGGATGGTTAATGGGGGCCAGCAATGAGGTGCTGAGACAGATTGTAGGAAAAACGAGCCTGTTTGGTCTTAATGCGATAGATTTTTGGTAAGAAAAGAATCCAGGAAACATGCACTTTCTTTTGCACCTTCCGAAGCCTAAGTCAGCCCATTATAATTCTGTCTCGTTTAAGTACTTGATATCACACAGAATTAAAAAGCTAAAGCACCTTGTTCTGTGGCGCAACTTAGTATCTCCCATTTGGGATTCTATCTACAGACGCAAATGTTAGAGCCACCTTGTAGAGCATTTTAGGGACCTTAAGGTCCGAAGACGGCGACACGAACATCAAAAAAGCAATAGGTTTAGTAACCAAAACAATAATTTTGCACTTGCATCACGCTTTCTTGTACATTACTTTGCCGTCACTGCACGACTACGACGTGAAAATGCCCAATTTTACGTCGTACAGAGGACGTAGGCAAGCGGCGACGAAATTTCCTCTCTCTATCTGAACTTTGATATGGTTCTTAGGATTTCAACCTTGGTAGGGTTCACCTACATTTGACAAGGTTAGCGACTTGGAGTAATCGCGGTGAAGATTGAAAGAACGCGAATTTACTTTTTTCGCGACGTTTCCGCTGCCGTCGCTGTCCTCGGATCTTAAGAAACCACAGGAGAGTACTGCACGAAAACGTTTATTTAAATGGTCACAATTTGGGATTTCATTCACAGATTCAAAAGGAGTAAAGCCACCTTGGAAGTGTAATAAACAAAAGCACATGTAGGACTATTTAGTGGCTTTTAGCTGAATGGTCGCATTTTTAGAATCCCGTCAACCACCTAATGAAAAGACTGCTAAGTTTTACCTTCAACTGATTTGTCGGTTCACTGTACTCAGAACTGAGATACTGAACAAAACCACATGTAGGAACAAACTACTTATTTTCAACGCCTTTCAACAATTTTATCTCTCAAATCTCCTTTTAGGTGCAAAGTTTCTGATGACCGCGTCCTTAACTTGGAGCTAAAGAAGCTAAGTGGAGACGCAAAGCGAGAGCTGGCCAAGAAACTGCTTGCAGAGGCAGAAATTGAAAATGCAAACGTGAAAAACCACACCCATCACTCGTACCAGGACTCGGAGTTTGATAACCCATTCAACACCAGTCCTCCAGCGACCCTTAAATCTCTGGATTCTACTAATGGGTTTAAACTTAAACAGAAAACGTGTCTTAAAGCGGATGAGTTCATCGCTTTAAAACTACTTTCCGTTCAACCTCTGGCTGAAATGGTTGCAGAGTACACCTTTGCGTTGCCCCAGGCCTCTGACCTTACGGGATGCTTTCCTGGTCAGTACGTTCGAGTGAGACTGGGCAAAAATCAGCGGTTTCTCTCACCAGTGTCACGCGCTAAGGAACCTGGAAAGATTTCACTGTTGCTGAAGCTTGAAACACACGGAATGTTCTCGAACTCAATGCGCTGTCTCGAAGTCGGTAAGAATTGTATGATCGAACATTCACCGTCATAAGGCGTCGCTAATTGTAGTTCTGCCTAATGCTTGCTATACTCCAAAAGTAATACTGCTCAATAGCTTTTTGTTTGAGTTGTCACATCACATTGCAGAATTTTTTTGACAAAAATGAATTTCATTTCAGAGCCATCTTGACTTATTAGGGTTTTCCTTCTGAGAAGTTTCACTGTTTTAAAGGCTGGAACTACTTTGTATAGCATCAAACAGCACAATAAAAAAAATGCAAAAAAGCGTTCATTTAACGTAACAGTCATGGTATTTTCTTTTGGTAGGAACTTACAGTTTGACCAAATGTGTCATCGTGCACATTTTCCAAGAAAAAAACATAAATTACCATGACATGCTTTTTACCACTTTTTACTTTAACCCTTTAAGCACTAAGGATGATCAGCATGAAATTTCTCCTTATAATATCAATGCTTTAGAGAACGGATTGGTCATGAGAATTGAGCACATGATCAGGGAAGATGAGTCTAATTGATATTTCAACAATTTCTCCCCACCACTTGTTTGTTGTATCTCTTCCTGGTCGTCGAATATCAGATATAACTCTCAGTTTTATGCTGATATATCACCTCCGGTGTGCGGGATATTATGTCTACATACTTTCACTTCTTTGTTTTCATCACTACATGGTATTTGAATATCAGACGAAACATTCGTTATCGCGTTGATATATAATGCTTGGGTATCATTTTAATAAATTTTCTCTTGTGTTTGTTTTATCACTACGTACATAACGGTGTAAGATATCTCATGTTTGATTTATTACAGAAAGTTCTAACGATATTATTTCCTCATTTACCAGGTGATACTGCAGACTTCTCCGGCCCTTGCGGTGGATACGAATACGTACACAACTCAACCAAAAACCTGACCTTGTTGGCAACCGGTATGTCATGCCAGCCTGCAGTCCAAATCGTGCGAGAAATAGTGGCTGATCCGACTGATAAAACCTCTGTAGTTCTCCTGATCTACGCTGAAAAACCAGACGGTATTCCCTACCAACAAGAATTAAAGAAGTATGCCAAGTACGACAAGCGATTGAAATTGTCGTTTACCGTCAGCGAGGTTGACCGCGATGACTGGGAGGGAGGGCAGGGCTATATTGATTCCAAGCTGCTATCCAGTTCCCTCCCTCCACCAGAAGAATCTAGTCATCGGGTGATAGTATGTGGAGGTCCTCGAATGGTCATGGGTGTGCTCCAGGGGATGAGGAAGCTGGGTTACTCAAGTGACAAGATCTTTGTGTACGGACAGTTCGGTGTCCAGCAGATTAAAGCAGTATATGGAAAGTTTTCAAAGTTAGCGCAGCACAGGGAGACCAACGACAGAGCAAATCATCAACAGGCATGAACGATCTCTTTGAGAGAACATCAGAGAAAATTCTACTGAAATACCACAGCAAGGAGCATCACCATGGAGCATTTCTCAGTAATAATTCATAAAACAAACAAGAGAAATTAATGTTTTATGAGTGTCTTTAAATCTGATAAAGACATGGCTTAACTTTACGTCCAATTTTTCAGATCAAAACAACCCCAAATCTAAATAGCAGTGCTAGAATGAGTTGATCTATATCAGAAAAGAAAAACTCGCAGTCGTGTATTAACAGGTTTAAAAACCTCGAGGCGAGAGACATCTTTTAAACCTGATAATACAATCCTCAGTCTCGGTCTAGCTCGTTTTTTAAACAGTACATCCACGATTCTTCGAATTTGTAAATCAATATTTAATATACTTTGTGTTTTTAGTCAAAAACTGTATTTCGCCATAAAAGCTTTTTGTTTATTGCATATATAACTGAATAAAGATCATTGTATATTTGTCTAAATGGTTTCTCCTAAAGTTTTGTACCTTTTTTTCTTAGAGGACGACAGAAGAGCCTGCAACAGGGTGTGCTTGATAATAGCCACCGGCGCGTAATGGCGACTTTCTGTTAGGCCCTTACCTTCTGAGCTAACCTTATCCTTGGCCAATTTGGAAATTATACAAATACTGGCATAATTTCTGCTCTTTTGTAAAAGTGTCACTGCTAGTATAATCGGCATATTTTTAATATCTTTGACGGGAGCATTTAATATATATTAGAGTCCTGACTTGGCCATAACTCAAGTTCCATCCAAGGGTCAGTCTATTCCTATTTTCCTTTCGTCTTTTACAGGAGGGTTAAAGCGAGTTGTCGGTCTTCTAGTGGACAGGGCACATCAGAGCTCACTGAAAGTCAAACTCGTTCCCAGGGCTATTTCTCTAAGAAAATGGAAAAAGCCCTGGGAACGAGGTTGACCGGAAGTAATGATATCGTCTGTGCAAGTTCCCACTTTCACAGGCAACAAAATGGCAACGAGCAAGATAAGACGAGTAGAATAACCAGCCTGAAAAGAAAACCGTCTCGTAGACTGTGATAGATTTTGATATGAAGTAAGGCTGGGTCAGGTATAAAAAGTCGGTATTGCTACTTACATTTATTAATTAATTCACTTTTCTAAGTTACAATTTAGTCTTAAACACACTTTCAGTTTCTGATCTTTAAAAAGCTAATCACTAATACAATATGGGGAAAAAGGGTAGTAACGGTAGAATCAATCGCGAGCTTACGAAACGGAGACGGTTAAGTCAGAAACGAGAAAGAAAAAAACAGTTGATTTCATAAGCAAGAGAACTAAACTCTGCACGTGCAACACACTTTTTGCTAGATCTCTTTGCCGTCTTCTGCATAATTACAGCCTAACGTTTCAGTTCTAAAGTGAAGGAATGAAGGAAGTTCTAACACAGGGCCATGAATTTTCTTTTCTCTCTTCACGATTGAACACTTATGTTCAGGTTTTCACGCAGTTGCAAAATTTGAGACTTGAGGTGTCCTTGCGAAAAATCGCAAAGCCAGTTGCGGATGTTGTAAAATTTGCGAAAATTGCGCAAAACCGACGATGTTATGTTAATCTTTGTATATATGTCTCTATTTTATACATTTTCAAACTGTCTCCAAAAGTATTATTTCAGCGTGTAACAAAACTGAGCTAGCAAACAAACGGTCTTAAGATCTAGACTATGGTTATATACTTTTTTTGCTTAGTGAAAGCGTTCTCAACATCGATGCTGGCTACATGTACCGGATAGCCGCGCCTGGCCTAGGATATGAACTTATAGTTAGGTATATTTTGGTAACTTCCCTTGAACATATAATATTCCTTATATTTAATTAAATGCGGTTAACGTCGGTCTTCATGCTGGCATTCTTCTTAAGTTTGAGCCGTGATTCCTGTCTCTTCTCCTGCAGTGCTAGGAACAATGAAATATAAAGATTACCAAAATATTGAACATCTAAGACGAAGTTTGTAGGCGACATGCATTTGGAAAGAAATGGTTAGGAAAGATAACTTGCTGGCCTCTAGCACGCAAGACACCTTCTCCTTCCCACAAACTCTAAAATGAATAAATAAAAAAGACCGAGCCAAGCATTGGATTTTCGTGAGGATTTAATCACCCTGCAGGTTTTCTTGTCCTCCGTCTTTATCGTCCTTCTTTTCACCAAGTGTTCTGAAAAAGATTTTAATTACAGTGTGGTATGCCAATTTTTCGTACCCCCTTGGTAAAAGCAAATGGGTTCGAACAGGCCATTTCTGTGTAACCCCATGCCTCTGTTACAAAACGAGCCAAAAGCAAGGGCATTTTTTTTATTCTCATGCAAATAAAATAATTTTCACAAGAAAGGATTTTCCCTTTGCATCGGCTCGGCGGTTTGAAAGTATCGGTTTTTGGAACTCGGAAAAGGCCTACATGACTTAGATAAATGTATCGGCAGGTTTTACTGGTGAATGGAAGTTACGTTTGGTTCGAATTATCAGCAATTTTCAAAAAAACCAATGGTTCGAGAAATCGGTATTCTCGTGTGCACTTTTCAATGATCAAGGTATTTCGCAATATCAAGTAATTCAACAGCTTCCAATTTAAATGGTTTCACCTAAGAATTCCCATCCACTATCCTTACTCCAATGGTTTGTTTGACTGAACTTCATTGACTAAAAATTTATTGTTTTATAATTAAGCAAGGCTAAAGGCTGGTTTTCACTACCGACGGATTTGGAGTCGTAATCAGAAGCGTAGAAGTTTACGATCCAGTGAAAACAGCGTTCTGATTCCTCTTACGACTTCGTCGCCGTTTTTGATCAAGCGAAAACTAGGTTTTCGGAGTCGCAAACAGAAGCGGAGGAGCTAAACCAATCACAAAGCGTGCATCGTGATTGGTTTATAATTCTGCTTCTGCTTCCGACCTCGACAATCTGGTTTTCACTAGATGGCAAGCGACGGAGTCACAAGCGCAGTCGGAAGAACGTGGAAAAGTACTGATTCTTCCGACCCTGATTCCGTCGCTCTTATGACGCTGCGCGACTCCGATTTTTGATTTTCACCGAGTCGTAGGCACCCTTAGCTTACGACTCAGTCGCTAATGACAACCAGCCGTAAATGTAAAGATACTAACCTTACTTATAACAGAAACCACAAGTGTAAGGGCACTCGTCTGTAACAAAGCTTACGAATCGCTGAAAACTTGAAAACGACTGCAGGTCATGACATAGGTCCTCCCTTACAATGCATCTCATAGGACTCAAGTCAAAGCAGTATGCTGTAAAATGACAACATTGATATATTCATCATTATTACCTTTATAATAAGTTAATTGCTTACTTTTTGCCTCCGCCTTTTCGGTTACTACATCATGTAAGCCCTACCTTACATGACGTACCGAGCGCCTTTCATTCGCCTTTAGGCTTGATTAACAACAGCTGTTCAGGAAATGAGCCCGCGCTCGAATCGAGCCTAATTGCCTTCTGATTGGCTAAAAACCGGGTTCCGATTTCTTGCCACCACAGATTTCTCCGGTCTGTCAGTAAACCGATTTGTTCAATCCGAAACAGTTGAAACTTCGTTGAAGTCAAAAGCCTTTACAATGGCCTGTATAGAACAGCCTGTAGTATAATTTCGGCAAAACATTTAACTGAATTACAGCGACTTCAAGATATAAATGCAAAATAGTAAAACACTATCCTTCTTAACTTCACAGTATTTTTAAAAGGAGCTCATTTCACTTAGCTTTTACTTCGAAGGCACTTAAAAGATAGTTTCCTCTGACCCAGAGGGGTAATACGGGAAAACTAACTTGAAGGAATCCATCGATCAGGGCAAACTTTAGAGGTCTCGCTATACTTGACCCGCGCAGCATTTCCCTCGAGACGATTATATAATATGAAGATGATTATTGGAGCAACCGCGTTCCCAGGCGTCCTCGATCCTCTTCGCTGAACAAAAGGATAGCGGACTCTGGGAACGAGATTAGGGACCTTTAATTCTAAGACGGCGACGGTAACGAGAACGTTCAAAAAAGGAGTAGGTTTAATTTAGGCCCTGTCCACACGTATCACTATTCGTTGAAAACGCAACTTTTTTTTCTCCGTTTTCAAAAAAATTCACGTTCACTTGTAGCGTTTTCGCATCGTTTTCGCCCGTCCACGCGTTTACGATGAATCGATTTGAAAACGATAACTTACCCGACTGCGCATGCTTGACGCAGACGTGTTAAAAGACAAGAAAGGGAAGAGCCAGCCCGCCATCTTGAATAAGTCTCTAATATTGCGCGGAGAGGATTGGACCTTATGGCGTGACCTTAGCGTTTTCGAAAAGTTCCGTTTTCGTCTTGTCCACACATACACGCGAAAACAGTGTTTTCAAAAAGTTCCACTGTGGAGAGCGTTTTCGAAAAGTTTCGTTTTCATTGATCGTTTTCATCGGATACGTGTGGTCCGTAAAGAAAAAGTTACGTTTTCAAATGAAAACGGATTCGTGTGGACAAGGCCTTAGTAAGCAAAAGAACAAATTTGCACGTGCACCACGTTTTTTTGTACGGATTTTTTTTTTTAAATTTTTAACGAAGACTAGTAAGCACCACAAAGGAAGACTTCTTGTAGTTGTAAGCTTTTTCGTTTATTTCCGACGCGTTTCGTCTGTTACTGAGACTTCTTGAGGGAATGAATACAACTAACAAAGAACAGCATATATAACACGTTTTGTGCGTAAGTAAAACTTCCGAAAGCAGTTTGGGGGCCATACGATTAGCGCTAATCGTATGGCCCCCAAAATATACACGCACGACTACGACGACTGCGTAGTGAAAATGCCTAATTTCACGTTTTAAAGTGTACGTAAACAAGCACCGACGAAATTTCCTTTCTCTTTCCTAACTTAGATAAGGCTCTTAGGGATTCAACTCCATGAGAGTTCCTCTATATTTTAACAAAGTAAGTGATTTGGAATAATTGCGACGAAGTTTGAAAAAACGCGAATTCCATTTTTAAGTGACG